TGTTTCTAAAATAGAAATCATCCTAAATAAGACTAAAACATAGAAAATGTACCAAAATAGGACTTCTATATTTTTTATCTCCATTATAAAAGTTCGCACTATGGTAATGTGGCATTGTACACGTGCACAATATTTTACTTTTTGGCAATGTACATGACAACATTTGGTGATGTAAATGCATTTTAACTCATATTTTGGCAATAAAAATATGAAAGTCCTATTTTAGTATATTTTCAATGTTTTACTCGTACTTTAGTCTTTTTCTTTTCTAAAATAAGACTTAAAATGACAATATATAATATTAATATAAAAAACATTCTAGAATGCCAATCTACGTACAGTAACACATTGTTTCAGTGCGGAGTCCTATTTCAAAAATAAAAGAATGCATGTCACTCCTATTTTAGGATACAAATTTTATTTTACGTTTATTTTTGGTGATTTTTTAAAATATACCAAAATGGAGTTTTCGTTCGGATTTACAAGGTTTGATTGAGAATTCCTATAGTTATAAAATTTTATAATCAAATTTATGTACTTCACATTTGACTACCTCGAATGGTTTCCTTTACTATACCTCGAATAGTTAATAAGGCAATTCATATGTCTCAGAATATTTACCCAATTTATTTAATCAAATTAATTGAATTTAAATCATCAAACAAATAAAAATGACAATGCGTATTAGTACAATAATGAATTGATTTGTGTAAGAAAAAATTATGAAATTATTTCACGTTGACATGTGTTACAGTTAGAGTTTCTTAACTTAGAAAGATTTCACTCTAGTACTCCCAAATTATCTCTTGTACATGGATACTATGAGAAATTAAAGGATTTTATACTGTTACTCGGCTCCATATTGTCTAATCAGTTTCTAGCTTAATTACTTGGAGTTTTTTTTGCTCCATCCGTCTCATAAACCCTTCTTTTTTGAAAAAAATCGCACCCTTAAAATAAGCAATTACTCATACTACATATAATATTATTTTCTAATTTTGCTCTTACTTTATAACAAAGTATTATGAGATGTGTAGGATATACTCCGTATGAGTCATAATTAGAAAATAATACTAAGGGTCTGTTTGGTATATGGAATTGATAGAATTAGAATTGAATTGGAATTGAAAATTTCATGGGATTCAATTCCATAGCATTGAATTCACCAATTCTAATTCATATTTTGCACTATCAATTCCAAATCCACATAATATTTGAACTACCAAACACTAGAATTGGAATTGAAGTTCTCAATTTCAATTCCATAGTTTAAATTCTGTGTACCAAACGGGACCTAAAACTACTCATTTTAAAGACACATTTTTTGAAACATGAAGGATATTATGGAACGGGGAGTAGCTAATATGCTATGTGAAGTAATGAGTTGCGAACACATTTACAGCAATGAAGTACTCCCTCCGTCCCATTAAGTGTTACACATTTTGACTTTTAAGCAAAATAAGGAAAGCATATTTTTCCATTGACCTTCCCATATTACCCTTTATCCTAATGTAAAAGTACTCTATGAATAGTGTAAAGCAAGATATTATAGCAAGTAAAATACACATACTACTCCCCTTCAAGATTTAAGGGTAGAAATGTCCTTTTTAGGAAAAAGTGTAATTCTTTATGGGACAAAAAATTTATTAAACGTGTAAATCTTTTTGGGACGGAGGAAGTAAATTAGACCTCCTTTGAACTTTTTTAAAATAACTTAATAAAGAACCTTAATGGTACTTGGAAAAATGATGTGAATTTCCTTAACGAGGACAACATACTAATTAAAAAACCACGTAGTTTAACTGAAAAAGAATAAAAGTCAAATTAAACAAATGAACCAAGTAAAAAAAAAATCATTATTTCCGTCCCAGTGGAGAGAGTATATATCTATTTTCTTAACTCCGTAATAAGGAATTCATAAAAACATACGGAGTATCGAAAATAAAATAAAGAGTACGTATAAGTTGACAATATGGATAACAACCATAGAGTAATATCGAAGAATATATTAAGGCCAAATAGTGCCAGTAGTCCAGTACCCCTTGGGGTTAGCAAAGCAGGAACCAATACTTTCTCTGTTTTCAAAACTTATTTCTAAAGTTATGTGGTTTCAAAATGCTACACTTGTGCCCATGTGACCATTTTCCGGCCATTTTTCCAGCGAAAAAGGAAGACATTGATGCATATTTTTTAAACCATAGGGGGTATCAGAAATGATTTTTTGTTTCATTTATTAATAAAGGTTTATAAAAATTATTCTTATAATGTTCTTAAAGTTTAAAGTTATTTTTGTTTGAAAAAATTGACATATAATGCATATGTACGTCTCAAATTAACAATTTTGTTTTTTCTGAAAAAAAAGTAATTTTTTTTAGAACTTCAAAAAATGAGGAATAAAATAAGAAACAAAATAATACAAAAATTAAATGAATATCCTTTTGGACATCTCAATTCTAAGGACTTTTTTAGGCGTGTCTAAATCTTTTTGTGTATAAGAATTTTTTTTGCATATTTAATTTTTTCATTTCGTTTTTCCATATTTTTATTTTTTTATTCTGGGTTTTTTAACTTTCCAAAAAATTATTTTAAGTAACAAAAAGTGAAAATGTTTAATTTGAGATTGATGTAATGTATGTTATTTTTTGTATTTCAAAACAAAGAATTTTAAAATTTTTAAAACATTATAAAAAATTGAAAATATATTTTTTAAAAAAATTCTAGGAAAAGGAAAAAGTGATACAAAATAATAAAAAAAGGGAAAACACAAATAATAAACAAAAATAAGAAATGAGCACGAATGCCCCTATGGTTTAGAAATTATGCGACAATGTCCTCTATTCGTTGGAAAATGTAGAAAAATGATCAGATGAGGTGTGAGGTGCAATGTTTTGAAGCCAAGAAACTTTAGAATGGTTTGACATTATTATGGCATGATGCCATTTCGTTACCGAACCACATAGTAATGACTTAGTTTAGGCATTAAATTGAAAATATTAAATTAATAAATTAGTTATACATTTTCATTCGTTATTTTTTTAGTAAATTTAGGTTATATTTTCTCTGTACCTAAATATTTGTCCATTTTTAACTTTTTTTGGTCAAATTTTGCCTCAAATTAAATAAAAATGATAATAGATTTTGATACAAAATACTTTTATTAGAATTATTATATCAAATATTTTCAAAATATAATTTTATCTAATTAATATTCAATATATATTTTATATAAGTATAGGTCAAACGTTGAAAACAGTTGGCTGAAAAAAGTCAAAAATGGACAAATATTTTTAATACTTTTATTAGATTTATTATATTAAATATTTTCAAAATATCATTTTATCAAATTAATATACAATATATATTTTATATAATTATAGGTCAAACGTTGAAAACAGTTTACTGAAAAAAGTCAAGATTAGACAAATATTTAGGGGCGAAGGTAGTATTTATTTGGTATGACTATAACATACTTAAATTTATGTTTTTATACGGAGTAGTACTTTATTACCCCGAAGTACAACTCAAACCATAATTATATTTGTTGAAAAATCAAACTATACTAATATTTAATATTTTCATAAAATGTAACTAAACAAAACAGTTATTGAGTTTAAAATGCATAAAAATATTGGCGGACTAATTTTTTAATTACATCGATTGTTTGTTATGAATAAAAAAAATTTAAAACATCGAAGTGTTATGCAATAGTTTGGCATTAGTATGACACGCATGCTACCATATTGTTATTGAACGACAAGATACCGAATGAGTTTAGGTGTAACCAAAAATATACGAAACCATTTGAATAGTAACGATATGGTACGGATTTTTAGGAATACCGTATCTCCTAACAAAAGTTGTGGGCTTGTGGCAAAAAAGATGGAAGGGAATTCCCTTAAAAGTTAAAAATAACATCAATATCATAAGAGGCCAAATAACACCGACACCCTCCGTGGTTTGGAAAATAAGCACCAATATCTCCCTATTTTCAAACAATATTTCTAATGTTCTCGTGAATTCAAAATGTTGCACCACACCTACTCTGATCATTTTTTGGACATTTTCTGGCAAATTTTCCAGCGAATAATGCATATTTTCCAAACCATAGGGGCACTAGTGCTCATTTCATATATTTAGTTTATTTTTTTGTTTTCCCTTTTTTAAATTGTTTCCTTTCTTAATCAGTTTTTTTAAATCTCCTTTAAATATTTTTTTAATAATATTCTTATAATTTGAAATTATCTTTATTTGAAAAATAATAATTAAAATATACTTCATGCATTTGTACGTCTAAAATATTAAAAAAATTATTTTTTGTTTTTTGAAATAAAAAAATAAAAACTTTTTTTTGAGAACTTCAAAAAAATTGAATAAAATAAGAAATAAAATAAAACAAAAAATAAAATGAATGTCCTTTTTGAATATCCAAATTCTAAGAACTTTTTTAGGCATTCGAATTATTTCCTTTTGTATAAGATTCTTTTTTGCATGTTTCAATTTTTTTATTTTGTTTTTCCATATTTTTATTTTTTATTCTGGATTTTCATTTTGAGCTTACAAAAAAATTATTCTAGGAATCAAAAAGGTGAAATTTTTAATTTGAAATAGATGGAGTATATGTTAATTATTTTCATTTCGAACGCAAAGAATTTTGAATTTTTTTGAAACATTATAAAAAATTGAAATTAAATTTAGAAAAATTGTCTAGAAAAAGAAAACAAAGAGGTAAAAAAGTAAAAACCTAATAAGAAGTGGAAAATAAGAAATGACCAAGAGTGCCTCTTGTGATTTTGAAAATATGCAGTAATGCCTTTACTTCATCTTAAAATGATCCGAAAATGAACAAAGAGAGAGTGTATACAATATTTTAAAATTACTTTAAAAAATAAAATTTTAAAAAATAGAGAGGGTATTACTATCTATTCCGGTCCGGGTATTTTCTAAACCGATTTGGGTCCAAATCATGTATAAATACAGCAAACCCCGGCTCCTCCGTCTCTGCGTTTTTCTTCGCCGGCGAGGGATCAAGAAAGCATGACGGACGAGCGAGAAATCAAGAAACGCAATTCCGGCGATTCTACACCGGAATCAACAGTCGGAGTTCAACACAGCCACGGCGGTGTGCTGTTTCTCCCCTTTTCTTTCTCTCTTTCTTTTCCCCATCATTTCTTTATACCTTATTTAAAAAAAATTGAATCTTTGGAACAGGAAATGGGACAATACTCAGTTTGAATATTGGGACGGGCGGTGAAGCCAATTTTGAAGACAAGTTTCTTTATACTGGCAGCACTTAGAGAGCATGGTTCCCTGACTCTTTACATCCGCCGCCGGTTGCCGCCACTTGGGGAGAATCTGTTCCAAGTGGTGGTGGAACCCACATGCGAGCTGCCCAAGTCTGGACTTCATGACGGCGACCAACTGGTGGAAAGAATTAATGAAGCTCTAAATGCCTTCCATCCATTTGACCTTTACGAAAGAGAGCACTTGCTCGAATGGAACTTCTTGACAGGGGAACTTCAAGAAATGGATGATGAAGAGCTTGATTTCCAAGAAGTATTGAGGAAACTTGCAATTGTGGTGTACAGGGTCGTCCCTGTTTTCTGAGAAAGCTGTTTGATTCTTCAATTGATCTCCGATCCTCAAGGTTCGGCTCTGCTCTGCTCAGCTCGTTTATGATAGTACGTATGATACATAATGTGTACCTACTAGCTGCTACACATACAACAATTGTAGGAGTTCCATGCACAGTTTACTACTTAGCTCTTTCAATCCATATATTCTCTCTGACCGGCCGGCCTTGAATTTGTTTTCGCTAATTAAGAGCTAGAGCTATGAGCACTAATGAATTCTAGAAATAATTCATTACAAAAAAAAATGGGATGCTTAATTTGAATATGCCCAAAATAGGTGGTGGAGATTCTAAATTAGATTAGAATGACATATAACAAGAGTTACGTACATTTATCCTTTTTTTTTATAACAAAAAAAATACTGGGATACGGCATTCTAGCAAACATGGTCGTGATCTAAGATAATTTGCTTATTAAATGTTTTATTTAATCAATGATGCACTTAACTTAAAATTACACTTGTTGAAGAAAAAAAAATTTCTTTGTGACAAAAATAATCTGGGTATAAATGGATATGTTCTTTAGTTATGATTTTGTGATTCATTTTCAGTTTTTAAATCCTATGTAAAATTTTTTTCTTATTACACAAAATTTGTAGCCTCACAAAAAAATCATTTTGATGACTATTTATTCAAATATTTTGGTAGACCTTTTTATACGTAGTACTCCGTAGTTTAATATAAAAAGAATATGTATATGTATGTAAATACATTCTCTATTAAATTCTAAATTTAAGGGAGAAAGACCAAAATGGGACTATAACATTGAAAATATAACAAAATAGAACTTTCGTGTTTTTATTCCCAAAATATGACTTACATTTATTATGGTCATATTCATTACCAAAAAAAGTATTGTAATGTGCACATGTACAGTGTCACATTGCAAAATCCTATTTCAGAAAAAAAAACATGAAAGTCTTATATACACAAAATAAATAAACACTTTTTTAATGTTTTTTCGTGAGTAATTTTTATTATTTTGGACATAAATTGGCGGATATACAATGATTGTGTGATTCAATCCAATGTCTTAACACATGTAAACAAAATGAACCAATATCTTCACTAATAAAAGTTAACCCTCAATTAATTTAATATGGAATCATCCGGATTCATCAGGCTTTTTTTAAAAAAAAAAAATTCAAGGCATTCGTAATATATTAACATTTCTTAATTAAAAGGGGCCTTACTGATTTATTGGCATAAAAATATTAATTTTTGCAATTCAAATTTGTTGTGGAGTAATAAAACATTTTTTTAAATAAACATTTTCGCACACGTTTATGTAACATCACTCTAATTTTTTTCAATTTTTATTTTATGATCTTAAATAATCGTTTTTTTAAGTCCTAAAAAGGGGAAAATAATGAATGTAATGTCAAACAGTTTTGCGTTTTTATGGCTAGATCTTAAATAAGCATTTTTATGGAAAAAATAATTACTCCCTCCGTCCTAAATTTAACTTCTCACTTTCCTTTTCAGGATGTCCTAAAATTATCTTCCCATTACTTAAAATGGCAACTTCTACTATATCAAATGACAATAATACCCTCTAACCTATCCTTTCTTTTTTCCTTCCTAATTCTCACGTCCTCCTTTAACCCCAACCTCATCGGTTTTCTTTAATTTCTTCTTAATTCTAACTTCTACTTCTCATAATCTCATCCCAGCGACCTTCGCTTTCTTATCTCAAATCTCAGTTTTCCTTTTCGATTCGAATTTCCTTTCCCTTCACGAGATTTCATTTTTTTGTCTTTGATTTTGTTTTCGTTGCACTGCACCTTTGTCTCTAGAATAAAATTGCATTTATGATTCCATTCATTTTCAGATCTATTCTTTGTTGTTAAGATTAACACACTAAAAAGCCTAAGAAGAGCAGATCCATTTTTTNCGTATCTACTGATATACATGAAGCGTATATATATGCAAAAAAAATTTATTTCAGAACAGATGAATCGATTCTGTTCCAAAAGCTTGAATTTGTTGGATATATATGCTTGTGGTGGTTGGATGATTTTTGTTGGAGTTAGGCAAGCTCACGTCAATAATCAGGGGCAGCGAAGTAGAAGGGTTGAGGGGCAATTTTGGAAAGTCAAAGGAATTTTTACTCTTTCTTAAAAATGAGCTCAAGTCAAAACGGGAAGTTAAATATAGGACGGAGGGAGTATATTTTTTGATGTTCTAACAGGGGCCTTACTGATCACACATTTCCTCTTCACACCAATGTTTCAAATGCGGATCGGACCGCCCGGTCCAACCGATCGAACCGTGACCCGCTTAGACTTCCGGTCCGGTCTAGAAGAGAACCCCATTTACCTTGAAAATTGGAAAAACCTTGTGACCCGCCGAACCGGGTCAGAACTGTTGGTTCACGGGTTAGCTTTTAATGTTTAAAATATTAGCTTTGAGCCTACCTTCGCACACCTCCGTTACTCTTTAGGAGGCATCCGCCACTCAGATAAAGTTCAATGCAGGAGGATTCGGAGGTGGAGAAGAATCTTCGAGGATGCATGAAGGATAAAGACCAAGAATTGAAGTCCTGATCAAATGCGAGAGAGAAGAGAGAGAGAGAAGTTATGTGAAATGAGATTAAATGTGTTCTTATTCCAACCACAGCTTGAATACAAGTATATACAGGCCTTGAGCCCCGCCGAGCTTAGCTAACCGTCTAACAAATTCAACCAACAGCTAACCGTATATCTAACCACCACACACACGTGGCAAGCCAAAGCATGTATCATTCCTTCCCCGCAGACACTTCGTACTCTCGTAGAGGAATGAAGTCTCTCGAAGAGGAATGGTTCGGTGCGGCGGTTAAGCTAAGCATCCTTAGACGAAAGAGTGGTTTTTCAGGATTGGTCGTTGTGTGTCACCTCCCACCTATCCTACACATTCAATCAAGGTATCACTGCGTATCATTCCTTCCCCGCAGACACTTCGTACTCTCGTAGAGGAATGAAGTCTCTCGAAGAGGAATGGTTCGGTGCGGCGGTTAAGCTAAGCATCCTTAGACGAAAGAGTGGTTTTTCAGGATTGGTCGTTGTGTGTCACCTCCCACCTATCCTACACATTCAATCAAGGTATCACTGCGAACCGCTATCAAACCGGATCGGACCGCTCGATCCAACCGTGACCTGCTTAGACTTCCGGTCCGGTCTAGTAGAGAAACTTGAAAACCAGAAAAACCGTTTGACCCGCCGACCGGGTCAGATCTGGCGGTTCACGGGTTAGATTTTAATATTAAAAAATACTCCGGTATTAGCTTTGGCAAGGTTCGTACACACTACCACCTGCTTAAAAGTGACTCCAACCAGCTGATCAAAGACGAATCTGATTACCATGCTATACAATTTTTTATATATCCCATAGAATTTACATTTATTTATTGTAATTGTTTTTTTTTTTGAAAAAAGAGTTATGCGAAACATTATTTTTTTTAATCTAAAAATAGACATGAACCATTTATACTTTAAAATTCATTTAACATTCTTTAAAATGAAATAATACCCTTAAGTATTTACTGATTATACTAATTTAATTAGTTAGAACTTTAGTGTTTTTATTCTATTTTTTTCTCATTTCAATCTATTAAACATAAATTTGAAATATTACAGAGTATGAGTATTTAAAAATACATTAAGAAGTTGTAATATGTATGGGTATGTTGACCGGGTTGACCCGAGTTCAACCGGCTAACCCTTGACTCAGTGCCTTGTCTCGGTCGATAGGTCGATGCCTGGTCTGATTTTCAGAACATTGCTTCACACACGTATGGATGAATCTTCTACCCGAATCTGACCTTTATCGACGTGACAGGAACTTACAATATTCGAATCTGAACCAAAAAATTAAATATCCGAAACCGGCTCGAAAAAATTTAAACCGATCCCAACTCTTGTCGGGTCGGATTTGGGTCAATAAATTTCATCGATCTGACCCGACCTATACCCGACTTACAATAATACTTAAAAGCACTAAATTCTTATATTCCATGTATTTTTGATACACATATTTTGAATCTTTTAAAATTTATTGTTTTTCTTGTGTTTTTTTATTATAGATAAATCTTGCGTGTCACCCTTATGTTACTTTCTTTATACTCCGTATATTATTAGTTGAAACTTATTATTTAATTTTTTATTCAATCTAAGATTTTTATGAATACTTTTATTACTCCCTCCGTCCTAGAGTATTTGTCCACTTTCGTTTTTGCACACCATCTAATGCACTTCTTTAATCCATTTTATCTTGTAATTTGTATATTAAAAAATTATAGAAATTATATATTAATAATCTATATGTTAAGACAAATCAAACAAGATCACACATGACTATATTTAGGCTTACACATTGAGAGAATTTGATGAGTCAAAGTGCTTAGATGAACAGTTAAAAGTCAAAAATGGACTTATACTCCGGGATAAATAGAGTACTATTCAAACCCAAATTTAACCATAACCGACCTGATCGAATATTGAACCGTAACCGAACCGAAAAAATAAATATTTGAAATTGACCCGCCAAAATTAAACTTGAACCCAACTTAAAGTCTGGTGAGATTTCAATATATTCAAACCCGAGAAGCCAGGATGATAGTTTTCGGTGACGCGATGACTGCGGGCGTTTGCCAGCGAGTATCATGACACGCATGCCGAAATGGGACGATTAAGGCCAAGGATAGGTGAAATGGGGCGATTCACATAAATTTGAGAAGATCGGAGCTGAATCTGGAGCTATGTTCTAATTAAGGTGACGAATTCAAAACTTATTATTTACTCCATGTAATGTAGTAAGATATACTCCGTAATATTTACACCTTGAATATGAGATTAAATGTTATTTTGCATCTTCTTCTTGTTCAGAATTGGAATGAAGGGTTTTAGCATGAAATTATGCGAAATTTATAATGATTATTCTCCTGAAGTGGTAGGAGTTGGAGTGAGGCACAACTCCCCATTTTAGTAGCATTTATTTTATTTTGCTTTTTATGCACTGTATTTAATCTCTAACCCTTGGAGAGAGCTTTTTTATCATTTTAAATCCTCAAAAAAAGTGAGGCAATAAGTTATTTATCATTTTAAATCCTATATATATTGGAGCAACCATAATCTTTGGTCTTATTCTTGTAATTTTCTCAACCTCTTAATTTTAATTAGTTATTTAGTTCATTTTAATTTTTAAAGAACCAAATTCTTTTACTATTATTTCTTATTAAATGTTAAAAAATTTCCTTTTTAATGTCACTTTTACTCTTTTGAAAGGAAATAACTTAGGGGATTTACTTAAATAGCACTAAAACGCAATGACTTTTCCTAAATAACAACACATATGTTTTTCTTTTCAATGTAGCACTTTTAGTCATTATGCATTAGTCATTATTCAAGTAAATATTTATCATCACTGGACATTATGGAAATTATTAAGTGTTATTCAGGGAATAAAAAAAATTTAAGTACTATTTAGGGAAATGACTTTAGTTTTAGTGCTATTTAGTGTAAATAATTCAATAATTTAATACGTAAATACATTACGTATTCATTTAATATAAAAAAGAGCCTATATTTTCAAACTAGAGCTAGAGGTGTAAACAAATGTTAATCCAATTGAATTTTTTAGTTGGCATATTTTTTTTTGTAGTCCTTAAGTCCATACTTATTTTATAGACTTTCACGCATAAAATAATACTCCCCCGTCCCCAATTTGATTATACATTGCGGGTTACGAAGTAAAATTTCATACTTTTTGAAATCATTTTATTAACAAATTGGTATATCAATAAGATATAAAAATTACATATTAAAAAATTACGTCAATAGTTCTACAAAACAATATGTGACAAGAATATTTTATTTTATCAAATACTTAATGAAATCGCGTAAACAAATAAAAGTTATCGAGAGGAGATAGAGAAAAAAATTGTAATCTATCTAGGGATGGAAGGAGTATTATGTGATTAGTCTTGTAAAATTATGGAGATCCGAGTACGAATCCATTAAAAATAGGAGAATTTACCCAAAATAGCACTAAAACATAATGTCTTTCTCAATATAGAACCATATGTTTTTATTTTTTAATGTAGGACCATTGATTATTATCCATTAGTCATTATTCAAGTAAATGTTTATCATAACAAGATATTATTTCTACCAATAGACATTATTAAGTACTCTGTATTATATATTTAGAAAATAAAAAGGTTTAAGTCTTACATTGGATATGACTTATATACTACCTCCGTCCCACTATATTTGTCCACTTTCATTTTTGCACATCATCCAATACACTTCTTTAATCCATTTTATCTTGTAATTTGTATATTAAAAAATTATAGAAATTATATATTAATAATCTATATGTTAAGACAAATCAAACAAGATCACGCATGACTATATTTATGCTTACACATTGAGAGAATTTGATGAGTCAAAGTCCTTAGGTGAACAGTTCCAAAAGTAAAAAATAGACGAATATAGCGGGACGGAGGGAGTATTAGTCTTATTTAGTACTCCCTCCGTCCTAAATTATAATGCATGTTAATACTATTCACATAGTCAAACTTCATTCACTTTGTTTTTCTATTTTTGTTAGTAATTTGATAAAATAAAGTACTATTGTCACTATTAGTTTTATAGATTTTTTGATGTAGTATTTTAATATGTAATTTTTATTTTTAACTCTATACCATTTGTTATAAAAAATGATTTGAAAATAATTTCTGTCAAATCACGTAAATCAAAAGAAACATTAGGATTCCTAATCCATAAACATATTAGAATTCCCTCCCCACTTCGAGTTAAACCGAAGTATTTTTTTTTTGTTGATAAATCCTTAACTTCAAAGGAAACTACACTTGTGTTAGTATTAGCTAAGGGTTTAAAGGTTAAGTTTTCTTCCCACCCTAGCCTTCTAGATCATCAAGTAATTTTTAGGGTAATAAATTGCCCCACTTGAATTGTTTTTATAGCGGGTCTCATCGGATCTAACTTGATCTAATATGATTATAGTTATATTTCAAGCAATTTTTAATTGGCCTAATATTATTTGTTTTTAATAAAAATAAGCATTCTACATACCTATTGGATTTGTGAATCCATAATTAGAGAATAAAAAGAAGAAAATATGTGAAAAAGATGGTGAATAGTGTGTGATGTGTATGTAGACCTGGCAAAACTGACCCGGACCCGATAACCCAAACCGAATAACCCGGAACCGAACCTGAATTGACCCGAAAACTGAAGAACCGAAATAGAACCGAACACCCGAAATTATCCGAACCGAACCTGAACCGAACGTATTCAGACCCGAATCCAATTAGACCCGAATCGATTAAACCCGAACCCAGTTAAACCTGAACCCGATTAAACCCAAAACCGATTAGACCCGAAACCGATTAGACTCGAAATTGATCAAATTCATTAATACTCCGTATTTCATTTATCAAATGAATTTGGAGAATTACATATGTTGATGTGTTTCTAAAAAAACATATTTATATTATGGGTGCAAACCATGTAACCACTTTCATGTACAAATCTTTTACTTTGTATTTTATAACTTAAGTTAAAATATTTTTGTATTTTTTATAGAAAGTATATAAAAAATTATAGTTAACTAAATTAACTAAATTTATTATGTGATATTATTCATTTATTAGTATGTGTTTACATTATACTTGAACTAATATAAATTTAAACCAATATAAACTCAAATCTATATAAACCCAAATCAATACAACACGAATTGATACAAATCTGATCCGATGTAAACCTGAACCGATACAAACCCGAACCGATACAAACCCGAACCGATACAAACCCGAACCGATATAAACCCGAACCGAAACCGAACCAAAACCGAAAATCAATCAAACCGAAATAAACCCGGAACCGAACTGACCCGAACCGAACTGACCCGAACCGATTATAACATATATCCAAAAGAGACCCGAACCGAAAAGTCCGAACCGGAACCGAACCGATTGACCTGATTGCCAGGTCTATGTGTATGTATTGAGCATTCAATCCCCCTCTCATCCTCTTCCAAGAAAAGAGGTATAAATAGCGAGAGTTAGGGTTAGCGTTTCTAAACAAGGACTAATGGGTCTGTCCAACAAGTTGGGCCGCTCCTATGTAAAATATGACTAATGGATTAGCCCAACAGATTGGATTGTCTCAACTAATATCATATAATGATTGGATATCCAATGTCCAACATATCCATCAAAACACATAATAATTAGTGACTAGAGAAGAAGAAGGCATGCTCCCTCCTTTGCGTCTTCTCGGTGCATCTTGTGGATCTGTATGGGTAACTCAGCCACTACCCTTGTGAAGGCTGGTTGATTTGGCAACTTAGTCCGGATGATGATGCACTTAGGGGCTGTTTGGCAACTTCTGAATGGGTAAGTGCTGAACCAGTAAGAGGTCTGAATCATTAAGTGCTGAACCAGTAAGAGGTCTGAACCATTAAGATCTAGTATATTGCTTAACTATTCAGAGGCAAATGTCTGATCAATTCAGATAACAGCTCTTAACCATTCAGACTATGTATAATACTTAACCATTCAGAGGCAAATCTCTTAACCATTCAGACATCTGAACCATTAAGAGGCTGAAACAAACAGTCTGAATCATTAAGTGCTGAATCATTCAGACATCTGAACCATTAAGAGGCTGAAACAAACAGCCCCTTAATCTTTTTCTTTTTTTTATTTATTTGACAAAAAATAAAATACTTAACTTGAGAAATATAATTTATATGTTAATTTTTTCTTTTAGTTGAATTGTTTCCTCTAAACTAATTTGAATATAGAAACACTATAAATAACATTTTACAAAGAGAAATTAAAAATGAATAAAAATTATGATAATGGTCTCTCGTACCATTGTGGTTTGAAAAATGAGCAACAATGCCCTTTCTTCTCCGTAAAAATGTGCAAAAAATAGTCCAATGAGATATTTGTGTAACATTTCGAAACCATTATGAATAAATTTTGAAAATAGACAGGACAATGGGGCATTCCTACCTATTTTTGAAAATACATTGAAACTGTTTTTATATATTCTATTCAAAATTTTGTAGTCATTTGGGATTTTAAACTAAATAAATCGTTTTAAATAAAAGTAAAACATAGAAAAAGTATTAAATATAGAAGTTTCGTGTTTTTATTCCAAAATAAGACTATATATTGTGTTAATTTGACATTGTATATACATACATTTCAATTTTTTTGGTATTACACATTAGAATTAGAATGATTCACATTGTAAATATGGCCTGGTTCCGTAGGTGGGGCTGAATTGGGGCCGAGATTGAGCATGGGGGTTTACCGAGAGGGTTAGAAGAGGTACGGATCATTAATTTTACGAACAAAGTATCATAGGAGACAGTAACTTTCAAAAGGTCAATGAAATCCAGTAATCACGAAACTCAACCGTAGAGCAATATCAAAAAATAAATAAACTCATTACTCATATTTGGAACAGTCCGCTTTATTGGAAATTTTCAAATATTTGGGCCAAACCACGGGCTGCAACTTGCAACAACCCGAAATAAAAGCCTGGTATATACTTCGTATATGTAATGCACAATACTCCGGACATGGCCTTATCTAATGCTATTCGCCGAATTAGGCTCATGACCTATTTATTAGGCCTATATACCTCAAAATTTTGGGCTTAAATTTGGAATTTTGGATCAAGCCTATTATTTTGGAGATAAAATCTTTTTTTTTGTGACTCGAAACCACCACAAGTCTTTTCATTAAGTATTACGAGAGTCGATCAATTTTATTTTCGATTTAATTTATTTAATTATAAGAGTAAAGTATTAAAATAAAATTTAGATAGTAAAAAACTAAATGAAAAATTTTACAAAAAGATGACCAAACTATATTTTTTATGAAACGAGTTGTAAAAATAAGCAAACAAAATAAGCTATGAATAGTATCTTGGAAGATATATGAAGAAAGAGAAAGTATAATTTTTATGCCACATAGAAAAATTTTAGTTTGTTTAATAAGCTTGGTGTAGAGGGAATATGAAATATGTGCAAAAAACATTTTGAATTGCTCAACCAAAACATATACTCGTACTTCAAAGTTAGAGGTTTTGGAATGAAAGAAGTGTGGAATTGTGACCTAGTCACTGGAAAATATTATAAAATAATACTTCATCCATTTCTTAAACTTTTTGTTTTATATTAAAAACCTACTTTTATTTATATTTTTTCTTATCTCACATATCATATCATATTTTTTACTAATAATTTATCTATCTCAGTTTACTTTTGTCCATCATATCAAAGACAAAATTGGAAAGTGAACAACAAATATACATCGCTTATTTCCCCTGAAAGTAAAAATAGAAATTGTTTTATGAACCCGTTTTACATTTGTCTTTTTGTAGTCAACAATTTGACCAGAAATTTACTGTCAGATGACACGAGTTTTGAGTTTTGTTGGTAGAACTCATAAGTCCCTCTATAATTAGAAAGATATCAGAGGTCCTTACATTTTATAATAAAGATTTGATGAGACATTTCGTTAATGAACTTTAAAAAACGTAGTTTCTCCATTTTGCTCTTAATGGTATTGTGTTACTAAAACTCAAGGCTTTCACTTTTTAGTTATTTTTTTCACTCCGTTTTTTATTAAGTTTTCTCAACTGAAGAGAGTATTTTTCAAAAATTCAAAAGTGATCATTTAATATAAAAAGTAAAGGCAATTTAAATAACTATGGTAAGGACAAAATGCAAAAAAAAAACTTTTTTTAATTGCATTAAATAGAATAGTTGATGGAATATCTCTTTTCAATTTTGACAACAAAATGTAAGGATTGATGATGTCTTTTTAAAGAATAGAGACATCCAAGTTACTCCCGTATTTCAATAAAATTAAACATTGGTCATTTGAGAGTAATTTTCTCACAATTTGACACTTTTATTATTAATAACTGTATTTGTAGTTAAATAAAATAAAATAATTTTTAAAGTTATACCATAATTAAAAAGGATTGTTCTTATTATATAAGAAAAATCAAATGTAAAGATTATTTTGTGAGCCTAGGGAATAAAACTTATTTCCCTTTTTAATTTTTCTTTATTACTCCATATATTAATTTGAAAACGTTGAAGTTTGAACCGATTTTGCCTTCTTTCTAATCAATATTTTAATAAGAGTAAATTCCATAATCGGTCCTTTATAACATGGGAGTTTCCCTATTTAGTCCTCTATTATCAAATATTATCCTAGTAGTCCTTCATTTATGGGTATCTTTCCACAAATAGTCATTTTTTTGATCTTCAATAATGTTTGTGTTAATTTGAGGGCTAAAAGTGTAATTTCACAATGATAATATATTTTTTTGTCATACACAATTTCAAAGGTTGGTCCATTTGTGTCGTTTGTGAATTACAGTCGCTTTCTACTACAACCAAGTCTACAAATGTGGTCTTTCATCTGAATTCTAGTCAACAATCATAGTTATTATTTTTGTGTTATTCGCTTAACCGATATCAGAACACGACACTAGACATAATGTTGATGTTAAATTATGCCTTTAGCCTTTAAATTAACACCAACTTGGCAGAAGATTAAAAAAAGGACCATTTGTGGAAAGGCACCCTTAAAAAAGGACTACGAGAATAATATTTGATAATAGAGGACTAAATATGGAAACCCGCTGTTATAATGGACCAATTAGGGAATTTATTCTTTCAATAACTTCAAATAACTTTGCAGATTACACATTCATTTTTGGTTTGTTTATAAATCAACTTTAGACATTTCTACTTATTGTTCAAAGAATATGTGAATATCATTCTCTCTTTGTTTAAGAAATAAATTTCAATCATCTTCTAATTTTCTCTAACTCAATTATTGAAAAACAGAGCATGGGCAGTGAGAGACCAAAAATAAAATATCATAATCAATCAAAATTAGTTTAATATCCGTGTGATGAGTGAATTAACATATTTTACATAGACAAATCATTACTTTTATCAATTTTTATACTTTTTAAACATATTTTAATAGTTTAATTATCAAAAATTAATTTAATTATCTTTTAAAAAGAAAGTTACTCCGTATGTTTTTTTATGAGGAAGAAACGCGTAGCCGGCGTAGGGAGTATCAAAGTTGAAGTACGTGTTTGTGAATTCCAATAGCTAACGCGGGTTTTCCCGAGACTTTCGCTCCCCGTCTAGTCTTCCTCTTCTAAAGCCCAAACCATCTTCTTCTTCCTCCCTACCATTTCCATTTCCATATAAAATCTTCTGCAACACAAGTTTTACTAGATTCATGTAGCTGAATAAAACAAGGACGACAAGGTATTCCATTTCACAGGTACCGGCGTCGCCATCATCGCCGTCTTATTCTCCATATACTCTCGAATCTTCGCCGGAGATTGTTTCGATCTGTTCAAAGGTAGGAACAGTACGATCGATCATGCGCTCGTGTTTCAACCGATTAGAGAGGTGTTTGGGCCGACGGAGCGGCGACGGACTCTTGTGGCACATGGACTTGAAGCCCCATGCCTCCGGAGACTTCTCGATCGCCGTTGTTCAGGCCAATTCGTCCCTAGAGGACCAGAGCCAAGTCCTTACTTCTCCCTCCGCCACTTACGTTGGAGTCTACGACGGCCACGGCGGCCCTGAAGCCTCCCGCTTCGTCAATCGCCACCTCTTCCCTTATTTGCAACGTCAGTTATTTACTCCGAATTCCTTTGTTTTTTTGCCTCCTTTAAGCATCTCTTGTTTATTACTAGCTTTTACTCGTTATATGGGGATGCTGAGCTTTGTTGGATTTCATTTTGTATGTTTCTATTTTTTCAAGTGCTTTGAAAGTTCATGTATGTGCATACTCCCACTGTCCCAAAATACCTAATATTTAAGGTGTGGAGTAAGTGTAAAATATTACTCCGTAAATGAGTCCTTCAAATGAGTATATGCTACTTTAATGTCAACAATGCTATATGCATCTAGATTTTATTTTAAGTAATCCACCATAATTTGTTTACTAAATATGAAAAGCGGACAAGCGACGAAGAGAGTATTTAATATGATTTGTGGTGGACTTGATGGATGAAAGTGCCTTATTACTAGTTTAAAATTTCCGGGGAGGTAATATGTATCTGATCGCAAGGACTTCGTAACTTGCAAATCTTAAATGGATATGGCTTCTGCTTTCCCTGATTTGTGCCTTATGTTTTGGTCAGAATTCGTGAGAGAGCAAGGAGGGTTGTCAACAGATGTCATTAAAAAGGCATTTCATGCCACAGAAGAGGATTTCATTCGATTAGTTAAGAGTTCTCTGCCAGTAAGGCCACAGATTGCTTCAGTTGGCTCTTGCTGTCTAGTGGGTGCAATATCTGGTGGTGAATTGTATGTGGCTAATTTAGGGGATTCGAGAGCAGTTCTAGGAAGGAGAGGTGTGGATGGGGATAGGAAGTCTGTTGTGGCAGAACGGCTATCGACTGATCACAATGTTTCTTGTGAGAAGGTGCGGAAGGAGGTTGAAGAACTTCATCCCAATGATTCACCTATTGTGTTCTATTGCCGTGGTGTTTGGAGAATCAAAGGCATAATTCAGGTTATCAATATATATACATGTTCTTTGCACAACTCATTGCTAATGGGGCTAAAACAGTCACTATTGACAATGTTTTAGCTCGGGTGAATAAATAGACTCAATGACACATTGACCTTCCTTTGCTTATTACCTTTTTTGAAGTTTTGGGAAGTAGATGCAACAATGCATCAAGGATTTAACAAAAATAGCTTTTGTTTTTATTACATAGGTAAGATTGTGTACACTTTGACCCCCAAGACCCGAACGGAGTTGGGATAATGCTATATTTGATATCATCGTTGTATTGTTTTTTAATAATTGTGTGCATTTTCTGGATAGAGTTAAGATATCATGTGAATCTGATTCTCCAAGCAGTGCTACACGTGATTATTCAATTTGTCTGTTCTTAAAAATGTGTAGCATCATCTACTCCATATGCATAAATGGTATGCTTGATTATCCAAATCCAAAAATAGTGCTCTAAACATGTGTGGTTAATTGTACAATTGTGAAGTTCTTTCTGAAAACTGACTGGTCATGTGAACAATATAAGGATTATATTGTCTTGTGGATGTCTTTGTTGGCATATGATCTTTATTCTCTCTGTCAGCAAAAGAGAGAAGGCCATTCACATCACTCTCGATAAGAATCAAATCATTCGTTATCCTTCTTGGAATATTGCTTTTCCATCTCCCCATATCTCTTTTCCAGAGAACCACCAAATCCACTGCCCAATCTATTCTTAAAGGCTTCTATGTTCTTCCCCCCTTGGTCCACTGTCCACTGCCCAATCTATTCTAAGTGTTGTTAGTTGTGATTTCAAAGAATCCTTAGCATCGATCTCCAACACCTTGCCAACTCATATATCACTTTCATCTAGTGTCTAGTACAAGCTATCTGTTTCTACAATGCTAAACAACTTATTTCTGTTTACCCTACGGATTGATATTCTAAAAATTGTTACCTTGCTCTATCTAGGACCCATCAAAGGACCAAATAGTGGCTAATCTAGGAAATACGGAGTATGTTGAGTTAGGCCACTATTGAATATTGGGTAAATTTCGGTATATAACAAATATTTAAATGTGCATAATGTATTAGTTTGTTATATTTCATCTTATTCAACACTCTACGCCATATTCTCATTCAGTTCTCCAACTAAAAGAAATGTTTTCATGAATGCCATGTTCTTAACAAACAAAAAAAGTAAGTTCTTTAAAAAAACCGGTTCAAATCTATTCCATAGCTTGTTTTAAGGGAAGCTTTGTCCATGGTGCTAAACCTCAATGCATTATTTAGGGGTTATGAGGCGCTTTTTAGAACACTGCTATATACGAAGATACGAGTAGATATCTCTCTAACCTTGATGAAGTTACAGAATATATTTTTTGCATTGTTTTTACTAACATTTACATTTTTACTTTTTAGGTGTCGAGATCCATTGGTGATGCCTATCTTAAAAAACCAGAGTTTAACCGAGACCCAATCTTCCAGCAATATGGACATCCAATACATTTGAAGCATCCTGTACTAACAGCAGAACCTTCGATTGTCACCAGAAAAATCCGACCACAAGATCTGTTTCTGATATTCGCTTCGGATGGACTGTGGGAACACTTGACCGACGAAGCTGCAGTGGAGATAGTGTTCAAAAACCCAAGACTTGTAAGTTCCCATCACTCAATTCAATCTGTTTAGGTTATTGTCCCACATCAATACAAATCCAAGCTAAAAAGGACTACTTTGCAACATATAAGAATAAGAGTTACTCCTCTCTTTGCCAATTGATTTTGCATTGGAATCTCATAATTCTACATAGTATCATAACCAAGATTTAGGAGCTCGAAAAGAAGCCTATGTCTATTCGACCAGTTGATAACTTGAGTAAAAAAAACTCAAGTTGCACTTAAAGGGTATGCTGAGGGTACAGTCTCACATCATAAACCCAGGCTAAAAAAGACTAATATACAATTAAGAATATGAGTTACTCCTTCCATTTCCAATTGGTTTTGGATTGGAATCTCACACTTCTACAAACTACATTATATTGAACATGCATGCAAGTTTCAAAACCCTAGCTAATAAGGTGCAGCTGTGAAATGCACACTTGCAGGGAATAGCCAAGAAATTGGTGGGAGCGGCGATCGAAGAGGCTGCCAAGAAGAGGGAGATGAGATGCAGAGACATAGAGAAGATCGAGAGGGGAACTAGGCGGCATTTCCACGACGACATTACAGTGGTGGTGATATATCTGGACAGCCACAATCAGAAGAAAGCTTCCCATAATCCTAAAAGGACTTCGAATTCGACGAGCTGTGTTAGTGCTCCCATGGACATCTTCTCATGTAACACAGCAGCCTACGTTACCTAAACGAACAACTTTGCTCGAGTTTCTTGAACAAGCTAATTAAGGAGCCGAGATTTTGTAAATAATACAGAGTAAAAAAAGACAGTTCGTGTGTAATTAATTATGAGCATAGGGCTTTTCTTGAATGGAAAGACTGTGTAGATAAAGAGTGGCGTTATGATGAGCATGAAAACATGGTGTGGTCTTTTGTTGTTTTGAGTCTCATGAGCTTGCACATTTTGTTTGGTTCTTTCAAACACACACGACACACATATTTGGGTTTCATGAGTTTTGGGTCATCATCCTAAGAGCACTGGAAATACGTTTGAAGCCCTGGGGCTTCAAACCGGGGCTTCAAACTTTCTCTTTCTGCCACGTCAGCTTTAACTTACACAAAAAATTCGCTAGAAATGGGTTTGAAGCCCCAGAGCTTCAAAGCTTCAAACTTTCATTTTTTACATTTTTAAACATACATCTTCTAAATTTAAATTAATAAATTTAGATTAATTTATTATTTAATTATATTGAAACACGAATACAAAAAAAATACATTCATTAAAATAAAAAAAAGACAATAATAAAAAAGATACATTAATAAAAAAAACTAAGGTAAATTATATTTCTTCTTGATCTCTCTTTGTCTTTGCTCGTAGATCATCCGTTTGAAACCCGACAACGTAGAAAGGTCGGTTTCCATGATTTTGAATAAAAAAAATTACATTCATTAAATAAAAAAATTAAATTCATTATAAAAAAACTACATTAATTAAATAAAAACATTACATTTATTAAATAAAAAATTACATTCATGAAAAAATAAATAAAATACTTGAATAATAATTTTTTTTAAAAAAGATGATAGATAGAGAGAAATTTGTATTCGTGTTGAATTTTTTTTAAAAAAATTTAATTTAATTTATAGAGAAGAAAAGAGAAAAAAAGAGGGAGAAAAAGGAAAGAAGAAGGCGTGATAATGCCTTCAAACCGCGTCAAAAATTTGACGCAAGTATTTTAACGCATTTTTAACGGGGGAGGGGGGCGTAACACCGCCCCCCAGGCGTCAAAATGGTGATAACGCTGCTCGGCGTTACGAGCATTTGTACTTCCAATATCGACATACTGGCGTTGATTCATACTATCTATGTAAAAAATTATCTATTTTAAATTATGAAGTATCTTACAATACACCTTTACTTTTTCATACCCGAGTAGTGTTTTAAAATATAATTTTATAAAAAAAACAGAAAATCAAATTGATCAACCAATCATTCCCATTTTTTTATGTGTGAAAGGGTGGTAGAGGAATGATTTTCTATGAGATAGAGGACTTGTTTTATTTATCTGATCTGAATGATTATGATCGGATTAAAATAAGTGTTCAACTGATCTGATCAAAATGTAAAATGTATTTATATTTCAATTTTTCTCTTCGAATTGAACTGATTTGAAATAATAAGAATAAGTAAGAGAACAGCTTTTAGGGGTTCGAAAATGAGCACTAGTCTTATGGTTGCAGATACCATCTGGAATGAGATTGAGTCAACTCGTTCAGGTTTTTTCCACACTCACTAGTCTAATATTCAAATCTTACCTCAATTTTGTTCCCCGACGGCGGAATTTTATTGCGTTCGTGTCTAATTTGGTCTGTATTCAATCGCCGCCGCCGCGTTGATGGCGCTGGAATTCAACTGAGACAGTGACGGACGATCAGCTCTCCATGTCCGTACATTCACCATCTTCTTCTTCTTCATCTTCTTCTTATCAAATTAGGGAATTTCTTGTGTGAATAACATTTCTGTATCATTCAATTCTCCAGATTGCATTTTCTTTTCGGGAAGAATTTCGAGCGTGCGGCGAGGGTGGTCGATCAGAGAGGAGTCAAACGAATCTACGGCCACCCCAGTGGGCGTTCCATTTTCCAGGCATTTCAATTAAATTTAATGTTTGAATCCAATTGCTTTTACTTGCAGTCGAGATGCTCTAGGTCCTGTTTGGAGATCCTTAATTTTTTTTAAAAAAAAAATGGACTGTTTGTTTGTTTGTTTGTTCTTCTCAGGTGATTGGAGAATCGAGGAAGAAAGAAGAGTATCTGTGTTTCCCTGAACATTATTGTGCATGTTATTCTTTCTTTTACGACGTTGTCAACAGAGGGGAACAACTCTGCGTGAGATTTCTAAATTTCAGTTTTTTTTGACAAACAAATTACTATTGTTTTTCTGGGTTTGTGTAATTTGAGTTCATACAAGAGTGTGGCTATGGATATAAAGAGTTTTCCCTAAGAACATTTTGTTAATGGCTGAGTGAACGTGATTCTCCTCTTGGATTATATAACTGACCCTCAAATTTTTTGGGGATTGTCTTAGGCCATGTTTGGCATCAACTTTAGATGTTAGCATTATGGAAAGGATATCTGACGGTAACCTCTAGGTTCGCGTTTTTAAAATTAATCTGCACCATTAAAATCTTATCCAAAACGCTAATGCTAATAAAAAATGTTGTTTCCAAACAAGGCCTTAGTTGTTGGCTTGTTGTTTTCATTTGGGGATGTTCCAACAACAACAAGAAGAAGAAACCTAGTAGAATCCCACAAGACACTGTCGAGGTTTGGTTGATTAAAAATTGTGTTTGCTCCTGCAGTGTAAGCATCAAGTTGCAGCAAGACTTGCTGATGCGCTGGGAGAATGTGTTGATGTAATGGTGTCCGATGAGGAACTTGCGTTCATGCTTTCTCAGCTTTGATGGTATTCCCATTTATTGGCAATGCTTCTTTCTTTCTTTATTTCTTTCTTATGAATGCTTCATCGATCAAGATTTGATGCTTATTGCTTTTATTACAAATAGTTCGAATAAGGACCGATTTGATGCTCATAGTATAACATTTGTTGAAGCTCTTCTCGAATCTTTTTGGCTACACAATATAATTGGCAGGAGGAGCAGATATTTGGAGTCAATTTTGCCAGAAACCAATGGAAGAAGACATCAACTAAGGTTTTCGTTTACTTAAGCATGTTTCAATAATAGTAAAAGCTACATTTCCTTGGCTAATGAATCTGTATTAGCTACCCTCTCGTGGTAGCTCAAATGCCATTTCTTCTTACTTCTTATTAGTACACCCTTTGGGTATGATTTTGCCACTTGCCACCCCTTGACTATCAAATATGCTCCATATTCCAAAAATAGGCTTTTCAAGCTATTATACCAAAATAGGACTAAAAATTTATAATCAAGATTTTTATGTCTTTCGTTCATTTTTAAATTAAATTATACTACCTCCGTCCCAAAAAGATTTACACGTTTTGACTAAAGTTGAAATTAAGGGAGGGATAATTTTGTGTTGACTTTCCAAAAATACCCTTGATGTGATGGGTAAAAGTAGGATGTGATGTGTAGATTATTAGGAAAAAGGTATGATGTGATAGGTAGGGTTTGAAAAAGTAAGAGGTAAAAGTAGTTTTTTAATTGAAATGGGTAGGAGATTGTGGGACGCAATTTTTTTGAAAGGTGTAAATCTTTTTAGGACGGAGGGAGTATCTGTTTGTAAATTAAGAATAAAAAAGATTACGTCCCTAAAAAACGCCCCTACTTAGCCGTCATTGTTTATCTCATCACTACCATCACTACTCCACCGCCACCACAACCACGTCGATCAATTCGATTCATTGTTTATTCGATATATGGTCGTGACGACCATAGTTTTTTTTGTTCTTCTTAACAATTTCTAATAAGACACTTTGCATGCTAAGCACTCTTCTAAGTTCCTTGAAATCCATGAAGTTTATTTTGAGAGAGAATGTGTACAAGGAAGTAAGGGTAATCTCGACCTGATTTGGTCATATTTGCTTACAAAATCAATAGTTTGTCTGAATTTAATAATCTAATAATCAAAGTAAATTTATCTTACATCCTTTTATTTTTAAATAATAAATTTTGTAAACGATCCCTAGTTACAGGTGATTTTTTCTATATTTAGTATCAATTTCTAAGAGATTACATAAAATGATCCTCATTTATTTCATAATTGGTCTTTCAGAGATTATATATGAAAAAATATTTTGTCATATTTGGTCTAAAAGTCTATTTATGAAATAGGTTTTAAAAATAAAGTCATTTATGTAATATTTTAGATGAGAAATAAACTTGTATAGTACTAAAATATAGTGAACTAAATACTCATAAATACTCATTTTCGAGCATAAATTAATTTTAGAAAAATAACTATGCATTTATTAGAAATTGAATATTCTCAAACACAACTATTCAATTGGTCTTCGTCATGGTATGTTTAGGCTTGTTTTTTCACATGGTTTGAATGATTCTAATTTGATAGAAATAATTTTTAATTTAAATTTAGTTATACTTAAAATTATTTTTGGTCAGATTAGATCTATTTCTAATAAAAATTAGGATTGTTTATCAGCCCAAGATCGGGATGAACCAGACCGACTCGGATCAAAGATCGAATTGAATAAAATCACGGACTGAAGATCGAACTTAAATCCACTTGGGGATGGACCGGACCGAACCAAAATACTTAGGACCAAACCAGTCCAGACCTATTAGACCGAATATAAATATATTTTTTAATTATTTTTGTCTATTAAGTATATTTTAGTTTTTTAATTTGTACTGTACAAATAGGGAAAATAAAAAAAATAGACAACCTAAAAATAGATAACATAGACTACTTCTACGTATAATCATAAAAGTTAATGTTAAACTTTTTTTATTTTTTTATTAATAATTACTTAATAAAAAATCTTGTTAATTAAATGAAACAAGATTTTTTTGAAGACAAATAAAATAAGATATCTATCGAAATGGAGCATTAACTTATAATACTCTTTAAATTTAAAAAATAGAGTTTTAGTATTTGAATCTTTTAAATTCAATAGGATTATTAAGTCTATTCAGTCCGAGTGTAAATCATTTTGAATTTGGATCAAACCAAACCAAAACCCAAATGACTAAATTTTTTGGACCCAAAACCAACAAGATTTTTTCCGTTCAGGTTCTGTCTGGAACTGATTCCGTTTGGTTGGGCGGTGACAAGTGTTATCTTAAAATTAACGAAGCAAGATGATTAAAACCAGCCATCACCATCCACAAGGGGCCTCGCATGATCCACCGTAACTCCGGTGCGCCTGTTCACGTTTCTCATGTCTTCCCGCCTCACGGGTTCCTAGACAACCGAGTCACCGCCGGCCACCGCCATGGCCGCCGACGTTCAGTACTTAGAGACGAGGTAAATCAATCTTAACAAAGTTAGCATAGATTTGACATATCTCTAAATACAGTCTCTGCTCTGTGTCATGATCATCAATTTTGCTGGAATGTATGCGGAGTAGACAATTTCGTGTTTCGATGATCTCAAGCTTAAATACATTATCACTTTCCCAGGCCCATTCCCTTCGGAGATTGAATTTGTGTTAAATGAGGGGTGGGGTGTCAAATTTTGATCGGTGGGACAGGGATTTGGGACACCATTTGGGACAGAGGATCCCGGCCATGAACACTATACTGCTCGTATTCACTTCTACTAGCATTTCTTTCTCTTCTGCTTATGGTACTTTGTTTGATCAGTTTTTTCTGTAAAACATAGTATATGCTTTTCTGCAATTCTTCCGTTACGTATATCAATGAATCAGGGAGTATATAATAATGGTATCGCATCCAGGTACCTTAATTCGTGCAAATCAAGAGGCATTCTTCCCAATAAATCAATCCTCTCGGCCTTCTATAAGGTTTGTCGTGTTAATAGTTGTAGGAAGTGTTGTTTTACACTTATTGATGGATGATAATGAATCTGCTAAATGCATCTCTAAATATCAATGTACCTTAGTACTGAAATCAGCATATGACTTTTGACGGTGGTCTTCAGGCCAAGTTGAAGAAGGCCCCCCATGAGCCATCAGCACTTGTCATTCTGCTCGACGACATCAAAGATGTTGATTTCCACCCACTTCTTGATTTGCTGATGGATATTGATGATTCTGATATTGATGCCGTCGACATAATTAATAGGTTCTCATGTGCCTTTAGTGGGCATCATGTTATATCATGCTTACGCGCTGTAAGAAGGAAGCTTCGGGTCGTTGATCTCCAGGATCTTTTATTTGGGAAGGATTTCTTGCTGTATGTGTTATTTCCAACTATTTTGTGTTTTCCAGTACCATGGTTTCTATGAGCTTGGCAAATTCAAGTCAATATCACAACAATTTTTGAAGGAAGCTCTATGATTGACTTTCTTTAGACATGCTGTCTTTCATAGAAATAATATATCATCTCCTTTCAATCCATTGAAATGTGTCTGTAGGGATCTTGCTCTACAAGGGCTGACATGCCAAGTATTAAACTTGAGATTCTCTCATTTCCGCAAACTCAACATGACCGGGAGTTTCCTGCAGATGCACACACTGAATTTAGACTTCAGTGCTTCACTATCTAATTTCCGTGAGGATTGCTTTACTTGCATGCCAAATCTGAGACGGCTTTCGTTGTGTGAGACAAGAATCACTAATTTATGGACAACAAGTGCTGCGCTTTCCAAGCTCCCTTCATTGGATGAACTCCGTTTTCAGAAATGTCTGCATACTGCTGATGCATGGAAATATCATGCAGCATCTGGAATGAATGGCCATCTAGACTATGGTGTACACTTAGGAGCCCCACACAGCAGTAGTGAAGATGTCATCACTTATAGTGGGAATCGTGATCTACATGATATTTCCATGCAGGTCTCAGATGGTTCATCTGATGATGACAGTGATGTGGACTTTTCTGGCCAAGATCAGGAGTTGAGTTATGTGGAGCGATTACCTGATGTACCTTGGAATGATCTGTTTGATTTGAACAATCAGGTACAATATATATGTACATTCTCTCGTATGTTTTCTTAGAATAAGGAAGGCCAATTTTTTTGTGCTTCTATGTGCCATGCCATCATGGACACTTTTGGCTTATCAAGTTTACTTTAATGATCATGCCTGCTTTGATGTTTTGTGAGACTTAACAAATTGATTTTTATTTGACACATTTATGAAGCTCTACCATTGCATTGCAGAACTGCTTTGCATTACTCAATCTTTATCTAAAAATCTTCTTACTTGAATCTCACTTGTCCTACCCATATATAATTCCTCTCTCTTGTGGCATGTCTTGTGTTGCGTTGATAGATAAGAAAATTATTGCTTAACCTTTTGTTTTACTAGATTATTTCTTTTACATCACATCATAATGCCTAAAAATGACTAGACTTTAGGTGAGCAATAGGCTTTATGGTGGATGGTGCATGCAGGATCTGAGAAGGCAGCAGTTGGAGCATAGATAGTGCTTTAGATAACTTGTGTGACTTTAAAACAAAGATTTTTTTGTGTGTATTTGTCACCATATGAAGTCAACCCTTTTATGAACATGAGTAACTGGGAGTAAGTTAACTAGTAATTCAATCTCTCTCTCTCTCTCTCTCTCTCTCTCTCTCTCTCTCTCTCCTTCTCACTCACTCACTCACTCTCTCTCTCTTATTCGCACACACACACAACAAAAATCTTAAAGAAAGAAATATTCAGAAGCCAGAATCTCAATGGGTTAAATATGATTGGTTTAGGTCATACCTTGGCATTAGCCATTTAGCCGTCTAAGGTATCTATAGGATAAAATGCACTACACTTTGCCTGCTTAATTGGGAATTCAAATCATAACAACTTAAGAATTTGTTGGGATTTCTCCCTATTTACAAAATATTAATTATGTTAAAGTTTATGTTATTTTCTGAGTGAGAAATGAAAATAAAATAATTGATAATGAAAATGATGATGTGAAGATAAGAAAGAAATAGTGGAGTACATGTGGTGTGTGTTATGTGCACATATATGGATGTGAAGAGAAGAAGAAAAAGACAATTAAAGGGCCTAAAGAAATGGGAAGAAGAATGAAAGGGGGGAAGATTTTATGGCAGCCGAAGGGGTTTTTATGGGGGCTACATGTGCAAATGATTGAAGAGGAGAGACTACATTATTTAGCTATAAAAGCCAATATGTTGTGTATTACTAGCCTTAACACATAGAAGAGAAAGAGGAGTGAGAGAGAGAGAGAAGGGAGCCAAAGAGTGTGGGAGTCTGGGAGATGTAGTATCCAAGAGGTGAGAATTTTCTAGTGGAGAAAATTTGCATAGAGAGATAATATCAATTATTATATTATTGTGATGTTGTTGTACTCAATTGACATTATAGTGGAAAGTTTAATCCGAGAGCATTGTGGTTTTTCCCCTAGTTGAGAGGGGTTTCCACGTAAAAATATTGTGTATTGCTCTCCTTTTATTTTTTTTTGCACAAATTTTTCCTCCCATATTTATCTCTTGAGAGGCTGTTGTTGTTAGAGGGTAATTTTTCCCAACAGAATTGTTCTAGGGATATCTCTAGGACACCAAGAGACTGGAAGGTCCTACCATTAAGCATTATTCAAACATAAAGTATTAAATGCTACTCCATCCGTCCCATAATTTTCTTCTCTGTTTGACCTGGCACAAATATTTTGATAAAGTGGAATGTGCGTGGTTGTGGTCTATGTAGAGTAAAGAGAAATGATATAGACAACACAACTTGTTCCTTAGAAGGAAAGAGGACAAAAAATTTGGGAACCATAATGTAAAGATAAGAAAGTATAAATATAATCATGGGACGGGGGAGTAATTAATTAATTCAGCCAGTTCAACTAATTCAGGTTTTGCTGCCATGGCCTTCTCGGATAAGTCATCCACACACCAGATAATGCTCATGTGATCTTTTTATAGGTGTTCAAGATGGGTAAATTTATGGTTTTTTAATTTTCAAGCATCATCATATCTAAATCCTGGGACGAAACATGTTTATCTCTAATTTTCAGATTTATTTTGGCACATTGGAAACACAAGACTCTGAATCCAGATTCGGTTTGCATACCTCAAGGCCTAGGTCACACACAGCCCCAAACAGGCTCATTTCACAGAATCCTTCACCAATCTGTTATGAGAAGCACTACAGGGAGTACATGATAGCTTCATTACCAAATTTGAAGGTTCTTGATAATTTGCGTATTGGAGGGGCTCAAAGGGAGTGGGCGAATTTAATCTTCACACAGCATTTTGAATACCTGCCACATAGGGCGGCTAAAGGGGGTATCATTAGTATATTGCAGAAGCGTGAAATCAGAGAAAAGCACACTCGCCCCCTCTCCTCCAGGAAAAAAACATCATATGTAGCAGGAAACACACAGCAATTCTATTCCAGGTCTTTGTCTGCTGCTAAAATGGGCTCATCTGCATGGCCGTCAGTGCATCCCCTGTGTATATCTAAGAATACGTTAGGGGATGAAAGAAGATTTCGTCCACGTCAGTTTGAATATCATCCATCTGATGCAAGCCTCATGGCTTTCGGAACCCTGGATGGGGAAGTGGTTGTTATAAACCACGAGAGTGAGAAAGTCATTGGGTTTATTCCTTCACTTGGAGCAATGAACACTGTTCTTGGTCTTTGCTGGCTTAAAAAACACCCCTTAAAGGTATGTCAAGTGTTATTTAACTATAACTGCATTTTACATTGGCGTTATATACTTGTCCAAATAAGCAAATACTCCCTTCGTCCATAAATAAGTTCCCGTTGCGCATTACAATGTTTGACTGAAGTTATTTTCAAATCATTTTATATGAAAAATGGTATAGAATTTAAAAAATTACATATTTAAAAACTACATGAAAAAATCTACAAAACTAGAGGTGACATGACTATATTATTTTATCAAATAGGAAACGAAAATAGGCCAACAAAGTGAATAAAGTTTGACCCTGTTCACTGAGTAGTTAGTCAACTCAAAACAGCTTAAAAGTGTCTGCATTTTAACTGATCATCATTTGAAAAGACATTCTCTTTGCATAAGTCTATCAAAAAGCTTGAAGAAGGGCTAGGCCTTGTTTATTTCCCTTCTCCATCTTCCCACTTCCTGTTATATGCCTTCATGTTTTTGTTCTGCAAAGAGTATTTGAAAACATTTTTAGCACGCTTTTTTTTTCAAATCCATTTTCCAGATCAGAGAATAAAATTGTGGTCACCAGTACAACTTTCTGAAGTTATTTACAGCACTTAGTAAATATGAATAGTACTCCCTCTATCCCAAAATAAATTGACCTCGCGAATTTTAAGAGAAGTGTTGAAAATCGAAGAATGTATGGTTGGAATTTGTTTATAGGAGAGAATAAGACTGTGAGCCACATATTTTATTCCTTAAAACTTAAAAGGAAATGACAACAGTGTGAAGTTTCTTTTTAGACAATCAGAAAAGGAAAATGTGACTTTTATTTTGGGGTGTGGGACTGTGGGAGTATAAAACAAGATACCTATAAACTCATGATGTGTAGGTAAACTGCAATGTAGAAGTTTGCATGTGTGATCGTAGAAACTTACACAACTATTTTCAACACTTTTTTCCATTTTATGCTTGGTGTTATTTGCTATCTGCTTGCAATACTCTCGTTTTGTAACTTTGCTATCTCCGCCGCATGCAGACGACGCACATGAGTCTTCTTAACCGCCCAACACTCTGCCCCATATAACATAGCAGGTCTGACTATGGACCGGTAGAACTTACCTTTCAGCCTGGGCGAAATCTTCGGATCACACAACACCCCTGAAGCCAACCGCCATTTGGCCCAAGCCACTCCAACACGATGTCCAACATTCCCGTCCAACTCCCCATCAGCCTGAATTACCGAGCCAAGATATCGAAACTTGTCAACCTTAGGCACTAGGTGAGAGTCAATCCTAACTTCCACTTGTGATTCCGTTTTCCGACCGCTGAAACGACATTCCATGTATTCAGTCTTGTTCTTACTTATTCTGGATCCTTTGGTCTCAAGGGCAAGGTGCCATAGTTCCAACTTATCGTTTAGTCCCTCACGCGTGCCGTCGATACGCACAATATCATCCGCAAAAAGCATGCACCATGGGACTCCTTGAACACCTTGTGTCAAGACGTCCATCACCAAGGCGAACAAAAAAGGGCTAAGGGCAGACCCTTGGTGCAACCCCATCCCTACCGAGAATGACTCAGAGTCACCCCCGGAGGACCTTAGCCTAGTCCTAGACCCACCGTACATATCCTTGATCGCGCGAGTGTACGCGATGGGAACTCCCCTCGACTCAAGACACCTCCATAAAACCTCCCTTGGCACCCTATCGTACGCCTTCTCAACATCAATAAACACCATATGAAGGTCCTTCTTCCTAGCTCCATATTCTTCCATTAACCTCCGCACGAGGTGAATGGCCTCTGTAGTCGATCTGTCAGGCATGAAAACTAGTTCTCAGAAATGCGTACCCCTTTTTGCACCCTATACTCAATTACTCGCTCCCAAACCTTCATGGTGTGGCTAAGCAGTTTGATGTCTCTGTAATTCTCGCAACTCTGAATGTCACCCTTACCTTTAAACAGAGGGACCAAGAGACTCTCCCTCCACTCATCAGGCATCCTAGCTGTCCGGAAGATAACATTAAAGAGTTTGGTTAACCAAACCCACCCACCACGACCCGTATGCTTCTAAAACTCCACTGGAATCTCATATGGTCCCAAAGCTCTCCCACTACGCATCCCGCGAAGAGCCCGAGCCACCTCTTCCAAGCAAATGCGCCGGCAATACCCAAAATCACGAGACGCCTCGGACTGCCCCAGCTCATCATGAACTAGCCTCTGGTCTCCTCCCGCATTTAAGAGTTCACAGAAGTACTCCCCCAGCGCTTAGCCACCTTGGCAGTCTCAACTAACACTCTACCATTGTTGCCCTTCACGCATCTCACATGGTCCAGATCTTGGGTCTTCCTCTCACGCACCTTAGCAAGCCGGAACAGTTGAATAACACCGCCTTTCTCATCTATATCCTTGTAGAGGCGTTCAAAGGCGGCATTCTTTGCCCCCGTAACCTCTAACTTAGCTTCTTTACGTACCTTCTTGTACTCCACTCGTAATGCCGCTCTTTCCTCCTCATCACTACAATCCATGTACCTCAGATATGCCACCTTCTTGGCTTCCACCTTACTTCGGACTGAATCACTCCACCACCAATCACCCTGATGCCTACTCCCAGAACTAGAGTTCACACCTAACACTACCCTGGTTGTTTCCCTGATGCAGTTAGTAATGTGCGCCCACATATCAGTAGCCTCCCCGGCAGATTCCCACGCACCTTTCTCTTGCACTCGCCTGATCAACTCAGAGATTTTCTCCCCACTTAGTCTCCTCCACCGGATTTGTGTGTTGCCAGCCGTAGCTCTCCTATGTTTCACCCACCCAATCATGACATCCATCACCAGTAGCTTGTGTTGGGTAGAGATGTTCTCACTCGGAATTACTTTAACATCCTTGCAGAGCACCCGATCACACCTGTGCAGGAGAAGATAGTCGTTCTGTGTCGTCCCCACTCCACTAACAAATGTAGCCAAATGATCGTCTCGTTTAGGGAAACAAGAGTTAGCAACCACCATATCACTCGCTCTGGCAAACTCTAAGAGTGAAACTCCCGCTGGGTTCCTACTGCCAAAGCCAAAACCACCGTGCACGTCCTCAAAGCCCTCGGCCGAGTCTCCAATATGGCCATTGAAGTCGCCTCCAATGATGACTTTCTCAGTCAGTGGAAAACCAACAACCACCCCATCCAAGGCGTCCCAAAACTCCCTCTTAACTTCGTCTGCCAAGCCAACATGCGAGGCATAAGCACTCACGACATTGATCGCACACCCACCCATATTTTGTAAGATGTGCTCCAGTATCTTAGTGCTGATATTATTTTGGAACAAAGTGCAGCTTTCATGAATCACACAAACCATCAAAATACAAACAGCATGTAAAGACTGCCCAACCAACTACATTAAATATTTACATCTTGATTTTACTATATACGGAGTATATAAGTATTAGTATGAGATTTAACAAAATTGCTTATATTGTTGGAGTCAAGGTTTTTTGATCATATTGTGATCAAATCCTTGTTCAATGTATGAATGTATCTCATGTGTAAAGTGAATTTCAGGTAATTGCTGGTTCTGATAATGGTTCACTGAGATTGTATGATGTCCAATGTATGACGAAGACAGGCGTATTTCAAAATGCCAGCTCCGTTATTTATGATGATTTTGATCAGTTGACATCTGTTCATGCTAACTCGACTGATGAACTATTTCTTGCAAGTGGATATTCAAGGGATGTTGCTTTGTATGATATAAGCAGTGGAAGGCGTTTACAGGTGTTTGACGATATGCACCGAGAACATATCAACGTTGTTAAATTTTCAAACCACTCCCCATCAATATTTGCCACATCGTCATTTGATCAGGATGTTAAGCTGTGGGACTTGAGACAGAGACCTATCCGCCCTTGCTATACTGCTGCGAGCTCTCGGGGAAATGTGATGGTTTGCTTTTCTCCAGATGATCAATATCTTCTTGTTTCAGCCGTTGATAATGAGGTGATTTTTTTTATTTTCTTAGAACTTTTTATTTTCTTTTTGACATTTTAAATCTATAAGCCTATAGCAGTAACGAATCTAAGCATGCATTTGATCATTTTGATGTAGAAGATGCCAGGTGACGATTAATTGAATTATGAAATACTTTCTTTAGTAATGTAAGGGAAAAGTTTAATTAATATATGGCTGTTCCATCTTGTTTGATAAGCTCTCTACCCATGTATGAAACAAAGAGACTATCCGTCAGACCCTTATGCATTGTTGTGTTTACTTCCTAACACCATTGGGGTCTAGGGGAACAAATGTATTCAACTTTATCCGTGTAAAAAAAACAGAGAGGCTATATCCCTAAGACCCTCGATGCATTGCAGCATCTACTTCCCCAAGCATTATACTCCCTCCGTCCCAAAATGGGTTACACTCTTTACAATTCCAGTATCATTATAACTTTTGTTTACTAGTGTGCTTTCGTTAATTATTTGATAAAAAAGATTCTTGCTACCTCTTGTTTTGTAGAACTTTTGACATAATTTTTAAATATGTAAATGTTATTTTTTATTTCAATACCAATATTTAAATAAAATGATTTTAAAAACCTAAGGTTTTGCCTTGTAGCTCCCTCCGTGTAATTTATTTAGAGACGGAGGTAAGAAGCAAGGGGAGTTAGTGTGCAGAGTCTATTATTTACTGGAAGGTAAAACAGTGTTAAAAAAAGACTCTTTTAGCTCCACTGGCAATAAACTACATGGTACTCCGTATAACTAAAAAAATAGTTTACGTTTAAAAATAGACTTTTGGGGTTGGGTTGGGGGGCAAACTTCTTTTGGGAGTGTTTCATTAAGCCATTAGTTAAACTTTTTACTCATTAATGCAAATGAATTTCTCAAAGTTATCACGTGCCAGCTGTTTTTGAGATTATCGGATATCATGGCAGGTGAAACAAATATTGACCGTTGATGGGCGGCTTCACTTGGATTTTGGTATTACTTCAACTGGCAGTTCACAGAATTACACTCGATCTTATTACATGAACGGGAGGGATTATGTAATCAGTGGAAGTTGTGATGAGCATGTCATTCGTATCTGTTGTGCTCAAACTGGGAGGCGGCTTAAAGATGTAATGTTGGAGGTACTTTTGTTTCGTGTATATATATTTGTATTGCATTAGACTTGCACTATGTTTGGTTCAAGGAATTTAAAAGAGAGGAAAATCAAAAAATAATTTTTCTTGTTTGGTTAGAGAGGAAAAGAAAAGAAAAGTAGAAGGAAAAGAAAATGCAAAAACCCATTTGAATCCCACAAAAGTAGGGTTGTGTATGCAGACCTTACCCCTTTTTGAAAGTAGATAGGTTGTTTCCAAAGAGACCCCCGGATCAAGCACCACAGGTAATCACGTGTGTAGCCTATTCGGCTATTCCTATCAATAATACATAAAGCGGTTGTTTCTGGATGACCCATGGTGAGCATCGAATGTTGCGTTGACTTACTGCTACTTCACTATTAAAAGAAGTGCGGATAGTTTAAAGAGTCTTTTTGCTTTATTCTTTTATATCCCAATTCCAAAAATAGTGAATCTTTGGCTCCATCTGAGATGATGGAAAATGGAAGCAAAAGAAATTGAGAAGACAAAATGTACTAAAAGGAGGGAAAACAAAATTCCTCTCATTTTGGTGAGGAAAATGAGAGAAAACTAATTTTCATTTTTTCCCCTTCCAAATTCCTTGAACAAACATAGTGTTAAAGATAAATGTGAAGAGAAGTAAATCAGTGGGTGTGATCAATGAGATTTGATTGTATTCAGGGAAAAGGTTCAGGAGCATCTATGTTTGTTCAGTCTTTGAGGGGTGACCCTTTCAGAGTAAGTTCTCTTTTAATGAATTAGTGATTCTCTCTTTACCTCTTGCTTGTGTTAAAATCACTTATCTAAAAAAGGGTTAATTACATCTACCCTCATTGCGATTTGGTGAGATCACCAAATGACCATTGATCAGTTAGATTTTACGCGAAAGCTGAATGACGATGTGATGAAATGATATTTGCCCTCAATACTTCTCATCGAGATTTTTTAAAGAAAGCTTCATATATTTCTACCTGCTAAAATGCATAAAAAGTAGCCAAAGTTAACAAGAAGGCCCACAATTATTGTTAACAAGTTTAAATTACTCCTTCCGTCTCAAAATAAAGATCCCATTCCACTTGTTTGGGTCAAAGTTTTGAAATATCATTATAAATATAGATATTAGTGGTTTAAGTGTTGCATCGTAGAATGTGACAAGTCAAATGAGAAGCTTATTTTGGGACGAAGGGATTAGATAATTTCTCATTGTAATTTGTAAAAAGTACCATTTGTCAAAAAATCTAAACTGTTTAGAAAGTTTGTTTGCAAGTGAAGGAGCTTCAAATTTCTATGTCTATTCTTCTTAACATTCCACGATGATGATGGTGATGTGATGCTTGTCGTCGTCGTCGTCGTCGTCGTCGTCGTCGTTGTTGTTGTTGTTATTATTATTATTATTATACAATGATGTCTCTATCTAGGACTTCAACATGAGCTTCTTGGCAGCATATACACGTCCGAGCTCAGTTCCACAAATCGTTAAGGTGAAAAAACAATTCAAGTTCGTACGGAGTCTTTGTGGTTGCAACATACTCTTCTTACATCTCATACCCATTTGGTGATTTTTTCTTCCCTACAATTTGCCAGGTGAATCTTTTGGAGGGCAATGAGCAAAAAGATAAAACTCGCTCTTACGGTCGCGACCCTCACCCGTCTTCTGGAAGGGGAGGGTGACATATATTTGCTGGTTTTCTTCCATATTCCCCTTTCACTAACATTTTCTTAGGGACAAACATAAGAAAAGTGTCTGTAGTACATTACCCATTTGTACATAAACTTGTACACAATTTTTTGTGTGTCAGGCAACATTATATGTACGGGGAGAACAAAAAAGTGGATTTGCATGTGGAGTACATAAAGCACATGAATTTAGCTTTATCATTTGTGTCATTTTGTAAATGTAAAAGCATACATATGATAAACAGAATATGTGGAAAATGATATTGTCCCCCCTGTCTATTTCTTCTCTTTGATACCCCAAGTTGCTTTGGAGTTTTTCACTAATTTTGTTTCATTCCGGCTCTTTGTCTATTTCTTATAATTGGATTGGAGTGGCTTTAGCTAAATATGGGATGAATTTAGTGACTCCTCAATGAAAAGTATAAATCTCCCTAAAATATTATGGAGTACTATATATTTTCACAGCTAACATGTACTTAAATACTCTGTATCTAATGTAGCTTTAGTATTTTTAAAATTAATCTATACCATTTGATAGAGTGAGGCTAAACCTATAGCTCGATTGGATAATTTTATCTTTAATTTTTTTTTATTTTTTAAATAATTAAGGGTAAAACATATCTTTTTAATATCAATAGGGTGGACACATCTTTACTATATAATTAAATTAAATACTCTGTATCTAATATGCAATGAAATAATTAATATGAGAAACATTTAATAATTAATAATTGCCTATTTGGCAATAGTTTTAGTGTTTAGAAAATTTTATATAATGATAGATTTCAGCTTTAGCATTTTTAAAATTAATATACACCATTTAGTAGGGTGAGGCTAAACTCAGTCACACGGCTAAATTCACTCCATGTAATAAATGTTATATGAATGGACAATTTTACCCTTCACCTCTTTCCTTTATTTTTTAAATAATTAAGGGCAAAACATATCTATTTAATATCAATAGGGTGGATATTGCTAAATGAGATGTGGATTTAGCAATAATTCATTTAATATTAATCAAAATATTAACGAAAATGTTATTTCCACATCAGGCTTGAGTCAAATTTACATTAAAATCTCGCTGTTAGGATTAAACGGGGCATTTTCACAATTATTGCAGGCCGTCCCACGCGATAAATGTCTGTAATGGTATAACAGGCCAGCCCAGCAAAACTGAGTTGGGCCGACCGAGAAAGAACTCGTTACAAATGCCCATTACAAAATATTTTGGGCCCTTCCGTCGGCAGTTAATTCGCGGAATCGAAATTTTGGCCCTACAAGTCTAATTAAGATCACGTGGAAGATACGTTGGAACAACAATATATGGCACATGAACGTGTAACATGATGTCCTCTGTTGTTAGTACACTGACCATTAAGTGTTAAACTTTTAGCATGATTAATGTTTTTTTATACTCTCGCCGGTGGGCGTTGTGTAGTTGATAAAGACAAGAAATACCAATTGGGTAAAACTTCGATTTCAGATAACTGCGGTAGAAGGCAATTATGCTACTGGTACCAAGTGCACGCTCCACTCTTTAATCCTAATATGCGATCAAATTCAAATTTACCCCCTCTCAGTGATCGTCCGGCCGGGTCTGAAGGGCCCCTCGGGGATGAGGCTCCTCTATTTTTTGTAGTTTTCTTTCTATATTTATTTATTCAATTTAATTTTTCTTTTTCTAATGTTAATGATTTACGTGGCATTTGCATGGACCGCATGGTTATCTACACACTTGCAACCCACCATAGCTGCATTGGCCAATATTAAAAAAAACTGCATTGGAAGATTAAAGTTTTTTTTTAAAAAAAATTGTCAATATGTGTGAGCCATATATATACTTTCCCTATTATTTATATGATTTTAATTATTACATACACTATAAGATACTTACTGACCAGAACAAGATGGAATATTAATAAATTAAAGAAAACAAAGAATTGAATCAAATGATAGGATGGATATACCGAGTATGTTTTTCTTTTAAAGTCGTGTTCGATTTTTTATGTGATTTAATTAATTAAAAATGTGTTTTAATACTCTCTCCGTCTTAAAATAAATATTATTGTATTTCTACTATTCGCATTTAAAACTTTATCCTCTTTTTTAATTGTTTTCGTTACACATTTGATAATACTTCTTTTATTCCTAAAAGATATTTCTTCTTTGACTTGTTGAGCTGAGGCAACTGTACACCTTTAGTTTTTTAAAAAAGTACCTATAGTTTGATTATTGATAAATACGGATTATAAATTTAATAAATAAATATCATATATTTGATATTTCAAAATTACTACGTACATCTTAAAATGAATCCAATTTAGTGTACGTACTATTTGTATATATAAAATAAATATTTTATTTTTATACCAATATTAAATCATTTAAGTAAAAAATAATTATAATCAAACTTTGTTAACTCTGAAGTGATCTATTTTCGGATCATTTAAGCTAATGAAGCAATCCCACCGCCCTAGTATGTTCGCAGAGGCAGGCATGGACAGGGTGGTCACTTGGCCCGGTCTCATATTCGGAGGGGCCTCAATTTTTTTTGTATATATATATATATATATATATGTATATATATACTTTTGATACTTGATTATTCTTATCAGTACAATATTTTTTATTGTTAAAAAATTAATTGATCAGGCTCCCGATTCCTCAGCAACAATCCTGTATATTCATCCATTGTGACTTTTCAAAATAAACCGTACGGACTTAAATCATTCATCTCTTCATTATTACTTTAAATTCGCAGCAATCGAGATTCGAGCCCGGGTAAACGTAACCTATGTGGCAATGCCTCTCGACCAGCAGAACTACGCCATCGTTAGTTAGTTGGTTTAGAGTTTGGATGAGTGAGGGGTGTCAAAAGTTAGTATTGTTTGGTAGGCCGGCTATATAGTGCAATGTAGAACTATAGAAGTACGTAGAGTGTGTAAACGTGATGTGTTGGGTTGTGTTTTTAATTACAAAGATTTTTGTTCCATATTATACGAATGTTGTTAGGTGGTTTATTATTTATTATGAATAAACAGCAGCGCACAAGAAGCAGCCAGCCTACGCTAATAAGTACGTACTAACCAACCACTAGGGCATAGCCAAAGATTGTTTCCCAAACAAATCTGATTCTTATTTAACTTCTAATTAATAATTGTATGTGGAACCTAAGTGAACACCAACTCCATCTCAAACCCTAATTAATTACCTTTCAATCTCATCTAAATTAAACTTCTTGTTCTGATATGGTTTCGTCCATCAAATTGTGGACAAAAAACCTGAATATTCGCGTGCAGTTACTTGAAAAATAATTCGTCCGATATGATATAGATTCGTATGATCAAAATTTGTCGCCAATTAATCGATACCAAGATTTATGAACTCGAGCCATCTACGAAAATTCAAAGATTTATGAGCCCAAGATTTGTCGCTAATAATCATGTTTAATTAGTTACAACGTAACCTAATTAAACAAGTCTCTATATGGGTTTTCTTTAAATAAATAAATAATTAGAAGAAGGTTGCAGTGCTAGGTTTAAGTTAGCTGTTTCACGAGCAACAATTATTAAGTATGGCTCCAATCATTTTGCCTGGCAGTTAATTGGCACACAAGATTTCTTTTGGTCCATAAATAAACTCTACACACTCCACATGCAATTTTAACAATAGTTTAGTTTCAAAATAAACTAGCTCTTACAAGTCTCAAAATGTAAGTAACATTTTGAACGATATGCAAAATATCATCTCTTTTAAAATTAGTTTATTTATAAATTGGTAAAAAAATAAAAAGTAAAAACTAATTATACCCTTCAAAAACAGATCAAAATTAAAGTTCTACAAAAAAAAGATGCGACAAGAATATTTAATTTTATCAAATGGTCAACCAAAACGAGTAAACAAACAAAAGTTATCGAGGGGCCAAAATAATACTGTTGCTTACATTTTGGGACGGAAAGGGTATATCAAGGAGTGCTCGCTTTTTATAGCCCTCCGACCCACAAAACTTTGTTACGTAAGAAAAATGTGGGATTTAAGAAATAATGTGTAGTTTTCATATTCTTTCAAATTTTGTTTTTGTTTTATACGTAGTAGTAGGGTAGACTAAGTTGGGAAATTTAGATTTTTAATCGGTATATATGATATGATATGTAAGTTAATGCTCGAAATTAGTAGGAATTAGTGAAAGATTTTTTGATAACGTTTACTCGTATTTGTTTGTATATACTCCCTCCGTCCCAAAAAGAATGGGACGGTTTGACTTTTTTGGAAATTAAGGGAGGGATATTTTGGTATTGACTTTCCAAAAATACCCTTGATGTGATGGGTAAAAGTAGGATGTGATGGGTAGATTATTAGAAAAAAGGTATGATGTGATAGGTAGGGTTTGAAAAAGTAGAGGGTAAAAGTGGTTTTTTAATAGAAATGTAACGGACTTTACGGGACGCAATTTTTTTTAAACGTAACAAACTTTTTGGGACGGAGTGAGTATTTATTAATCATTTAATAAAATAAAATATTATTTTCTCCCTTATTTTATTGAGGTTTTATGTACTTTTGAACGGTGTAATTTATAAGTTCTATTTTTAAACTAATTTGTAATGAAAATAATTTCAATGTGATAAGATATTGTACGTTGTTTGAAGAATGATATCTATTACGAGAAGGAGCAAGTATAAACCTCGTAAGGTTAGAAGAATTGAACGGGGGAAAGTCTAACCATATTCCTAATGTAATTAATCCACTAATATACTAATGAACAAATTCTATGGTAGATCAATATTTTAAGGTCCACCATGTACCTACATATGAGTAAAATATGTAAATTCTTACTATTTAAACAAGTATCTAGTTTTTAAATAAAAAATAAAAAAAGATTTTTTTATATGAGAAAGTCTACAAAAATAGTATGCAGCCAAGGTGCATCATAGAAGCACTCATGGTTTACTAAAGTTATATTCGATTCAATTTGTTTTAAAATCAATATGGTATAAAAACTACTCACTCCGTTTCTTAAAACCCTTCCTCTTTCGTTTTTTTTGTATTTCTTAAAACACTTCCCCTTTTTATTAAAAAACCACTTTTACCCTTATTTTTTCATACCCTACCTATCACATCATATTTTTTCATTAACAACTAAACTATCGCATCTTACTTTTACCCATCACATCAAGGGCAAAATTGAAAAGTCAACTACAATTTAACACTTCCTTATTTTTTCCCAAAGTCAAAAGAGGAACTCTTTTGAGAAACGGA